TGAAGTATTTTAAATCCTAATATTTTCAAATTACTTATAGCTTAGATCAAATTTCATTTCAACTAATAAGTGTAGTGAATTTGATCCACACACTATAAATTACTTATCAATAGCTGTAAGATGAACTAAAAATTCTAAAAATTACATTATTGTCTTTTTATTTGCAATGTTAATTTTTATATCTTGTTTAATTGAAAAGTAATTGTCTGTTGAATAATTATTTGTATTAAAATCGTTATCTTTAATGTATTCAAGTACACCAGTTATTTTCATAATATTTTATCTTATAGCATCTAATTTCCACCATTTTTCAAAATCTTACAAATGTGTAAATTAAGTCATGTATTATTCAAAATTTTTTGTTCTAATTGTGTTGAAAAGAATTCCAAAGAATCTGAAATTTTTTATTTTAACAATAGATCAATTATATATTTGAATAATTATAAATCAACATCATTTATTTATCCTAAAACCTCATTCAACTCCTATTTCTTTATTTAAAACTATTAGGATATGAGGAGTATTGTTAGATTCTAGTTCACTAAGAGTAATATAGATACATAAATTACTTTCTGCAAATTAATTATTTTAAAATAGTGAAGAAGAAGTCAAAGTAGCAATATCAGATATTAAAGAGTAGTTTTGGAAGAGTCTAAGCCAAATTGATGAAAAGCAAACATGATCTTTTCCAGGTATTGTCTATTTATTTATTTTAATAACAAGCTATTCATTAATGGCTTTGTTGATCAAATTTAAAAATAATTTTGTCTAGCAGAGCCTCAATCCTTGCCATAAAATAAAGATAAACTGTTAATTGGGAAGTTTAAAGTTCTTATTTATAAGAAGAAAACATGAGAGTAGTTAAAAGTAAGGCTTTCTTAGAAACCTCTATTAAATCATATTTAATTATTATCTTAGTAATTCCTTGAAGATGCTGAAAATACATTCGCTATTTAAGAAAAATAGGCTGGCTGGTGAATAAGAAATCATTATATGAAGCACAAATCTTATAAAGAGAATAATAATTGGAAGTCATTGAAAGTGGAAAAGAAATCTTAATCTAAAAATTAAGTGTTGTTTAAGAATTTTTCTAAATCAGAAAAGAAGTATTTCGATTTATCAATAATAATAATCTTCATATCTTCTTTGTCTACTTTTATCTTTATTTTTATAAACTTTATATAACTACCAGAAGATGAACTTCATGATAGAAATTTTTTGGACTTGATTAATCAATCCAGATTTAATTTACACTCAAAAACTTTCTTTCAAATCCTTAATGAGTTCTTGCAATATAAATATAATCGTATACAACTTATAAACAGGGATTGAACTTGACCCAGAGTGAATGACACTGTTTGAAAAATACATCATTCTGCATTCCAACTCTAATTTGTTATATCATAAGTTAGCAAATGCATAATTAATAAAATAAATCTTAATCATTACCTGTAGATTGAGTAATTAGCCTTTTTAATGGTTCTCAAATTTTTAGATATTTTGAATCTGGTATTTAATGAAGCATTGTGACATTATCTCTAGATCTAATATAAGTAACCATAACAATATATAATTCAAGAGCAAATAGTGAAATAGGAGAAAATTATAAAATAAAAAAAAATGAGCATCCTCTCAAACCTACTTGAATCCATATTATTATTATTATTATAATTGTTTGGCTAGCTGAATATCTTTAAATGTTGATATCCTTTTGAAATTTACAGAGCTGGATAAACTTTATGAGGGTTAAAATATTCTGTAGTAATAAATTCTCTAAATATAGACTGCCCCCAAAAAAATACCAAAAAAGATCAAACTGTTAGTGGAGCCATAGCTTTTAAAAATTTAATTGGTTGCAATTTTGTAGTAATTTTCCAAGCTAGTTGTCAATTAAACTTTACTATCTATTCTAATTCCTTCAATTTACAGTGATCAATTGATTTATTCATCTACTGCCTTTTCTCGAATGAACCAGCTATTTTTATGTTTTTTTGTACTTTTCAAACCCTGTTTTTGAATCCATCAACTAATAAGCTTTTAAATATTTTCATTTATGTTAATAATTAATCTAGCAGTTTTGTTATTGCAAAAATTAGGGGAATCGAGGAAAATAAATAAGCTTTTGAGTTTTCAAACTTCAATTATTTCATAATAATAATATTAAATGGAATATTCTCAAATTTCCTGATCAGCTAAAGTTCATAACGCATACACACTTAATAATTACAATATTAATTATATAAAAATTATTATTAACATATCAATATTATTTAATTGCTCTTAATATTAATTGAGATAAACCATTAAAAAATTATAATTAAAATGGAGATTGGAGAAGGATATAGAAAGCTTAGCAACAATTAGCTACAATGAAGAATTAATAAAGTAACTAGAATAAACTATTTCTAATGTGAAAAGAATTGATTCAATCATTTAGAACGACTAACAAATAATAATAAAGAAGATCTTTTATTTGAATAAGAAAATTTAGAATCAGTCTGATGAATTGATTTTTGGTTTGATCTATTGCTGGGTAATTTAACTTTTTAGTCGATTATAATAAATTGAAGCATTCTAAAAATATAAATATAGTAAAAACAAAAATAAATAAGTTTAGGATTCGAAACAATATGATTTTCTGCATATCCTTTTTCTTGTTGATAACAGAGAATATTACAGCAATGTTAATATCAAATAAGAATGGATTGGTAACTATTGATGGACAAATAATTTTATGAATGTTTCTATGACTGATATTGATGCTATAAAAATCCAAGCGCAATTATAAATACGACCTCACTCTGCATAATAAAAGATTTGTGTAATATTTACTTTAATTTATGCATTAATTGGATTTTTGTTGTTTTATTTTTTTATATTTGAATTTAAAATCATTGTATGTTTTCAAATATTTATTCTATAATGCTTCAAATTTCTTATCGTATGTTGTGGTTAAATTCTTAGAAGTAGGTTGTAATTATTATTAATATTTTTAATAAATACATGGCTCAGTAGAAAGGAAAAAATCAAAGACAATGGAAAGGAGTTGGATATTTGATATCGAATGAATTTTGTATTTATAAATGCTTAATGTCATAATTAAAGAAATTATAACACTATTAAGATAATAAAGACATATCCAAAAAATTTTCGAGAAAATAAATTCACAGAACCATAAACATTAAAATAAATGCTTAACTTAAGTTGTCTCACTAACAATTATAGATGGAAATTGAAATAGCGTTAGAAAAATCGTACTTCAATTTGAAATTTATCTTCTTCTTAAGAAACTTTTCATTAAGTGCTTGTTTGTTCATCCTATAATACTATTTCTTTCTTCTATTGCTAATATTTGAATTTAACTCATAAATGAATCAAGGGCTTGTTATTAAATTATTCAAATTTTTGCTGAAGTTACTTAAAATAAGTGTAATTTTTATATTCAGTTTAATAATGTGGCATAGGCGGAAGTAATTAGAGATATTTGATGGGGAGTGATGCTATAAAGTGTGGCAAGGAACTTCTTTGCAATTTGATTTAAGCACAATTAAATAAAACGCAATACAATTATTGCTAATATTTGGTGTGAATACTGTTTATGTACCACATAAATTCTCAACTGATTTTGCGATTTATTCCTTAAATTATGCTCAATTTTAAATCAAGAAGGCAAAGAGCGGTCTTTGCATCTTTCTAAAAAAGGGTAAAACTACTATTAGATTGATAATGGATAGGACTAAAGTGGTATACTTTTAAAGAGAGAAGAATATCGCTCAAAAAAATAAGAGCTGATAAAAATAAAAGTTTAAATAATATTTAAATAACCTTTTACAGATTAAATGAATCCTTTTATCATCATTATAATTAAACTAATTAATAAATATTGTTCATTAACTTAATTATGATTTTTATAAAATCATTAATATTGTTTATTAAATAATTAATAATTATTGATAATAATTGTCAAATTATTAAAATAATTAAGATATGTGAATGGAAATAATTAAATCAATCTAAATGGAAGAGAATTCAAAATTAAGGCATTGATGTTTCTTATGGTAATAATTCTTTCCCTCTTTGTAGATGTATTTTTTATGGTTTATAATTTGAATGAATTTCTATTAATTGGTTTTGAGTTATTTAAGGAATTAAAGGAAAGTATATTTTCAAAAAATGTGAGGATAAGAGTATAACTTTATCAAGATTCTATTTGATTGTATTTGACATTGTTTGTTTATTTAAGAATATATAATAAATGCATACTTGAAAAATAAATATTATAAATAATATAAATGTATTTTATTTAATTTATATATTAATTTCTTAAGATAAAATATCTTTGATTATAAATCCTTTCCCAATATCTTGTTTTTATCTCTGGGTGCAATTAGCGACTAAAGACTTTTTACAGCACGACTATCATTTCTTTCCACAAACCCAATTACTATAAATTAATTTACACAAAATTTATTACATAATAATACGATTTTACAAAGCAATTATTATAGAAAGAAATATAATTGCATAATTTTCTTAGCGATGTACATTAAATTCTAAACACTGAAATTGGACTTTGATCTTATCTTCAAATTATTGCCCTATTTGAAATTTCAGTTGAATGCTTGCTTGACATAAAAACTAATTTCAGTTTAATGATAAATTAGGATGATCCGTTAAAATAAATAAATTACTATTTGTATAAACAGGGTGTTATAAAAAATTAAAATAATTTATTTATTTAAATTAAAGTGACTTTGTTTAATCTTCTGACTTGATTGAAATTTTACATCCTACTATTCTTATTTTATATTTTATTTATTCATCTATCGGCATCTACATTCCTTCACATCAGTTTAGTTTATTATTTCTATTCAGGTTCAATAAATAAGTATATATCATTTATTTTGACGATAGATTTTGTGGTACAAAATCTTTTTGTGTTGCAGTCAACTATTTAAGGATATAATCATTACAAAGATTAAATCTATAAATTTTTTTTATTAATAGAAAAATAATAAATTCTTACACAATCTAATTAGTTAAAGAGTAGTTATATTTAAAATGGAGTCCGTTACTGTTCAATATTTGGCCCATTTAATTTCTATGGTAGAGGTAATGTAGAGATATTATAATAGATGTTAAAATGATGAAAAAATGTATGATCTATATACTTTTATTTTATGATTAATATAAATTTATTTTAAATCTTAATTTGAGGATAAAAAGTCATTTTGAAATTAACGCAGATTAATTATTGAAATATATTATGATTATTTTTATCATCTCAATTTTACACTTTTAATTTGAAAATAGATTTTGAAATTTTGCTTCTTGATTTATTTGCATATATACTCAAAAATAGAAGTTAATATTTTCTAAAACGAATATTTTGCATACTTTATTACTACTAGACCCTTCATTCTTTACTTTGAATTTAGAGAAATTATTTAAGATTGAGTCAAACCTAATAGTTGAAGATAAAAAAATTCAACAAAAATGAATAAAAAGCAATAATAGATAGGCTACCAGTTTAGACATGTACAAAATTTAAAACTTTGAAGAATAAAAACAAGAAAATGATACGAGTCACAAACATATTCTTCATTGTACACAAAGTTCCCTTAATTCAAGCTAAGAAAAAGCATGATTAAATCTTAATAACAAATAATAGTTTATTTATAACCTACTTAAGATCAAGTTTTGTAAAAATAGAGTTACCTCAAGGAAAAAATTTTGTCTTGAAATAAGTAATTATCCAAAATTGATTAAAATCATATTATGATAAAATGAATTCTAATGAGAAATTCAATTGCTCTAAATATTTATATTTATCTATTCATATTTTGAACCAATTATGATCATTTTTGCCACCTTTGAAAGAATGGTGCATAAATAAGGGGCTCTCTAGCCATTTACATTTAATACTTCATGATTTTAGAAGCTTTGAAAATATTTTGAGAATAGCAAAGGGCAGCATTAAGGACTCGAAAGCTTTAAAGAGATTACAGCGCTGCTGAATTAGTCAATCAATACATCACCTAATTTATATACTTAAGCTTTATGATTTTAGATTCGAAATTAAATTTTACCAATAAAACGTAAAGCCAGGTATTCGTATATTAATCTAACTTTGATTCAAGAAATCCTCTCTTGATTATGTATTTGAGATATATATAAATATTAAAATTTATAATTAAGTTTGATTTAATCCAAAGAATTGACAGAAAATTCATTTTAATTTTAAGTTGTAATCTCTAATCAACCCCATTTTAGGAATTTATTTAGTTTAGTTAAACAATAATCTTAATATCATAAATACATAAAGGAATTTCTTTTGTCAAAAATAACAATTTATGAAACAACTATCATTTATAATAAATTTCAAAAAATAATTTTATTAAAAATAAAGTAATTAATATATCTAAAAAATAAAAAATTTAGCAATCCTTCAAATCAAAACATCTTACTCATTAACATTAAATCACTGAACTCTTATACAATACCTAACCTTAAAAAATAAAAAAAAACATAAATATA